TAAGTGTGCAGAGTTACTTACAGATGCACCATGTACCGAACGAAAGCTTTTCAAACTAAGAAATAAAAAATCTGTTTAAAGTAAACAAAATGGTAGTATAAATAGTAAAGACGATATGGTTTATTTTTTTCTCAGTTCATGCAAAAAAAATATCAAAAAACATCGCGAATTTTTTCTACAAATTCAGATTAAAGAGTTTGAAAATCTCTAATAATTTTTCGAAATTCGTCGAATTTTTATAAATCTTGTACCAGATTTGAAACTTTGAGTTGCATAGTTTTCGTTGTAGTAATAAACTACATTTATATTTGTAAATAAAATTAAAACTAAATAAAGAAAAAATAAATAAATGGTCAAAACTTAAAAAGCAGTAGTGTCCCTAATTATGTGGCCACTACTGTATGTATGCCGTAGGAGGTTTCCTATGCCAACTAATTCGCAGCCACAGGTCGAGCCCGATTTTCAGTGTGAATTAGAGAAATTTTCTTGATATCGAAAATCTTTTATTTCTCGTATTTAAGACACTTAAATTTCAAATGTAACAATTTGTGGCCTTAAAGCCGAGAAGCTGGTGTCTCATTTTCGAAACACCGATCTGAAAATAGTGCATTTGTTCACAAATCCTTTTGGATAAAGACAATTGATCTGGATACCTACAGTCAGTCAATAAAGTTTAGGTACAGCGATTTTTTTACAATACTGGCAACTATTTTCCAAATATTATATTTTTCGATAATTTTTTATAAAAATATGGTTAATTCTACAATAAAAACCCCAAAAATCAGTGTTTCAAATCTTGCGCAAAATTCGGAAAATTCTGCAAAATTTCCTTCAAATATTTCACTTTTTATTTACGCTCTCTAGAAACAAGTAGCGGAGGTAGCTAGGACTTACCATAGATCTTTAGCATGTGCGACACCTTCAACAAAAAAATTTCTCAAAAAGCAATGGTAAGTCCTAGCTTCCTCATACTTGCACTTTATTATACTAGAATTGAATGGGCTAAAAAACTGCATACTCAACTTTTTACTAGAGAGCGTAAATAAAAAGTCGATATTTTTTAAAATATGTCCGCGGCAAAATTATAGGTTTCTCGGATAATTTACGGATAATTAACGGCAAATTATGCGATAGGAATTTTTGCTTTGAAAAAAAGTTGTCCTGCCAAGTTCAGAGAGGTTTATTTTGACACAAAATTATTCGAATAATTGACAGCAGGGTTTATGTTGTAACTACAGTCAGTCAATAAAGTTTAGGTACAGCGAATTTTTTACAATACGGGCAACTATTTTTTAAATATTTTATTTTTCGCTAATTTTTTATAAAAATATGGTTAATTCCACGGAAGTTAGCAGGGCACCTTCTGAAAACCAATGAAGGAAACCAGCTAAACCCAAACTAAC